ACAGATGAAGAGGAAACAAAATCAGCAACTTGTCTACATGGGTCTAATCATCCTTGCCCATAATAGGCCAAACATCGTACATCGTACCACAACTACATGGAGATTCTTCATAAGAACATACTCTATTCAAAATTTCAAGCCTTCTGAGAGTTTGTAGGATGGACATTTTTGTCATTTGAACTATTAGAATAAAGCATTTTTAGACTTCTAAATCAAATAAATATGTCTTTACATTATTTATACTTGTAGTGATAGGATTTTTATTCATTAACAATAAATATATGTCCAAATAAAATATTTACAACCTTTAGTTTGAAAACTAAATGTGTGGGACTTTAAAATATTGGGTTGGTAGCTATGCCAATTAATAATCTTTAATTAATAAAGATTTCATATTTGCAAACATTTTAGTTTTACAATTAAGTACAAATTTCAATGAAATGAAGGCGAAAGAAGAAAGAGTTTGTTAATGGTAGAGGTTGTGAATTCGAACATAGTGATAGCGTAATGATGTTGTTGAGAAGAAGGGATAAACTATTGATGGTGAACAGAGTGGTTACAGTGATGAATATGAAACTACAATTATTGACAGATATGATGATACATTTGGTGAAGCAATAGCAAAGAAGTCCATAAGAAAAATTAGAGTAATTCTTACAACAAGAAGTAAATTGAAGTGTAGTTTGATAATAATAAAAACGAAGAGTTAGTTCCCTTCCATGAGTTTTTTTATTTTATTTTCAGTAACAACTTTCGTTGATGAACTGGTTAGCATATAAAAAAATCTATGATATATGTTCTTTTTTTTATTTCATTAATTGAATAGTTCAAATCTTTTGACTTTGATATCAATAAAATATATCTTTGCTTCATACAATTACAGTTGTTGCTTATGTGTTTGAAATATTGCATCCAGCCAATGAGCAAGGTACCATGTTCGTTCTATTATTTTTTCAATAACTAAATAGTCCATATCTTTTGACGTTTGATACCAATTGTCGCAACCGCCCCTCCGAGATTGGAGGACCCGTCGCGATACGCTCGGAGTCGCCATCGACCGCGCTTTGGGGTGGGTCGAACACGCTCTTCCGATTTTGTTATTTAGGTTAAAACCAAAAAACCTGGTCTGGGAATTTTAGATTTTTTTGGGTGCGGGAGTACGGTTACGTGTAGGAAAGTGTATTCACACCCCGCAACACCCCATAATGGGTACTACGTAAATCGATAATTTTTAAGAGGTTGGGTGTATTATTGATTGTGATTTGTTTGTGTATTTAAGCATAATTTCCAATTATTTTTTAGCATGATTTTTAAAGTCCGATACGTTTAGCATAAGTTTCGAAGTGTTGTATTTATTAAGAAATTTTTACATCTACTGACGTGAAAAAGGATTTTAGGTTAGTAGGACTCGAACCTATCGGTTGCCTACGTACTCGAGTTAATAGGGATCAAAGTTAACGTAGTTCGGATAATAAAGTTTGTTATTTTTTAGAATTTGATGTTTGTTTTAATCTTTTGAAGTTTTGATTTGGAAGTAACGGCTTGGAAAGAGATTTGATACAAGAAAAATATCATAGTCTATTGACGATGGCATTTCATATTTACCCGTCTCTAAACGAAGTAAAAAATTGTGAGCAATCATTTTTTTAAAAGAAGGTTAAATACTTTGATAATAGGGATTTTGATTGGAATTACGTTTGGATTCTATTGCTTGATTTTAATCGATTGAAGTGTTTTGATTGAGTCAATTGAAGTCTGATAGTCTTTTATTGATTTCTGCTGCAACCTGAGATAGATAGAATCTGATTAGGTTGTTAGAGCTTCTTCAATCGGTAGTAGTGAATCGATTATACGAGAGTTAGTCGATTCACTACTTTGTACTGGAATCTAATTCCAGTAGTGGAGTTCTGTGTTCATTGCCTCAACGTTCTATCCCGGTGAAGACTAGTCGTCTGCCGGGTAGTTTGACTGAGAGGGCTTGGTCAGCTTAAGAGATTCCAAGCTATTGTCGGATCTTCCGCAGTATAATCAGCAGTAAAGCAACCAAAAGTAATTACAACTGTGACCTAACTAAGGAGCTAGGGGGACTCATTCCCGAGTGACTCTTCCTTTGCTTTAGAAAATCGAACCATTTCCTGCTTTCTTACTGCTTTTACTTAAATCAACAATCAATCAACTTAGTTTGCTAGATAACAGATATACAGGGAGTAGGTAGTAGATCTAGACCCCGGGTTGACAATTAGAGCTTGCCTGTTACTGCATTTCAGGGCTGCGATTACACTTGGTCGCAGTTTGGGGTTGTGTTTTAGCGTGTCAAGTACAACAAGGATGGGTGACCTTATGGAAAGTCACCTTGAATTGCACCCCAAAACCGTGAGGGTCTCGGCCCAAAGCGGACAAATCTTCGTCGGGAAAAGGTCCGGGATGTTACAGGTATTGATTAAATCTGCAATGGTATTTGTGTTTTGTGAAATGTTAGTATTTTTATTTCTTGAATGGTATTGGTGTTTTGTGCAATTGTAGTGTTTTTTAATGGATTGGTATTTGATTTATTGTTTTGTTGTTGCAACGGTAGTAGTTTGGCTGGACGAAATCAATGAAAAGATTGAGAAAAAGAATGAAGAGAGATCTGGCGGAAGATTGTGGAAGTGAGAGAAATAGAGAGAGAGAAAATTGTAGTTAATATATTTATGTAACTTTCTAAAATGTAATTTATTAAAAAGAGAAATTAATAAATATTATTTATCATACCCAATTTGCCCTTACTAATCACCATAACCCCTTCTGATATGACATTCATATCATTTCATATCAAATATCATATCAGTTCATATAATTTCATATCAGTTCTATATCATTGATATAAGTTCATATCAAGTTCATGTCATTCATATCAAGATCGTATCACTTAATACCATTCATAAAAAGATCATATCAGTTGATATGATTGATATGACTGTGATAATACTACAATCGATGATTGATATGACAGTGATAATACTACAATCGACATGTGTTTTTGAAGCATTCATTTTTTCTTTCCTCAAAATATGAGCATTTCTACTATGCTATATAGTATTGGTGCTTTAATGTACAACTTAAAGTTGTACCATAACATGAAATGTATAAGTTTAGATAGTACCATAAATGAATTTGTACCATTATGTTATGGTACAACTTTACAACTTGAAGTTGTATCATCATATAAAGGTACAAGTTCAAGTTGTACCATACAAGAATTTGTAAAAATAGTATAGGTATAATCTAAAGTTGTACCATAACGTTAAATGTACAATTTCAAATTGTACCATAAAGGCAAAAACCTATAGCACCAATACTATATAGCATTGTAAAATTCCTCTCAAAATATACCAAATGGATATCAATGTGTAGATAATAGCTAATGCATTCTCTCATCTGAATTTGTGTCAGGTTGTTAGAAAAATAAATATGGAGTGGCAAAATTACCAGTATGCCCTAGCTTTTTTGGATTAATATGGGTTGTCAGATCTGCTATGATCGGACAGATGAGGGTTGTGTTTTGTAGCTTTTGGGGTCGTTTGGATGAGGTATTTAAGTGAGTTAATTGGACCCAAATAACTCGTTTGACAATATTTTATTCAAATAAGTTATATGGGTTGTGAGTTATTGAAATAACTCCTACCCCTAGTTATTTTAAAATAACTCGTTTGGTCTCTTTGCTTTTCTCAAAAACCACATGCCAAATAGCACATTTGGTCGTTGGATGCTTTGTTTGCCGAGGTGTGGTATTTTGTTTTAAATAAGTCATTTTTTTGGGAAAGTGGTATTTGTGTGGTAGTTATGTAGTAAATAAAGAGGTATTTGACTCGAGTTATTTCATAACCAAGAACAAAAAGATTCATATACCCTCATTTTTGCTACAACAAACTTTGTTCTGTTTACTACCCCTAACCTCTCCTCTGTTCTTGACAATCCACTCACCATTCCAGCTAACTTTGAATCGTCCATGAAAAATGCCAGGGTTGCAGCAATAATTCAATCACTATCGTGCTCTTTTTGTTTTGTTTTGATGATTCAACTTATGAATTTTATTAACACTCAACAATTTGCTTCAGAAGCATTTACACATCAGCTAACATTTGGGGAATATTGACAGGGTTTGGCCCGGCTTTTAGAAGTGCTTTTCGGGTTCAAAAGCTGAAGCAGGGCCAAACACCTGTAAAAGCTCGGCTTTTGAAAAGCCCAAAAACACTTTTGTATAACATAAAAGCAGAAGCTCCGATTTGGAGCTTCTGTGACATCAGCTAACATTTGGGGAATATTGACAGGGTTTGGCCCGGCTTTTAGAAGTGCTTTTCGGGTTCAAAAGCTGAAGCAGGGCCAAACACCTGTAAAAGCTCGGCTTTTGAAAAGCCCAAAAACACTTTTGTATAACATAAAAGCAGAAGCTCCGATTTGGAGCTTCTGCGAAAAACTATTTTGAAAATACAAGATTATCCTTACCATTTTTAATTTTATTTCAGAAAATATAATTTTTCTTCATTTATATCATTTTAAAAATAAAATAAATTATAAAATCATATTAATTAATATAAAAGAAATCTAACAAGATCCATTTTGACTACTTTTTATTATTTAGAATTTTTATTTTATATTATAAGTCATTTATAGTCATTTTACACAATCTCTCACATTAAAAAGCACTTCTAATAGTTTAAGGCCAAACACTCAACTGCTTTTTTTGAAAAATACTTATCTAAAAGCTCCAGCCAGAAGCTGCTTCTGTAAAAGTTATTGTTGGGATTAAAGATCACACCAAGAAGAGGGAAACAGATGCGCCAACAAATATTGGTCTCCCTAAAATCAAAGTGCGAAACCCTAACCACAGATAATCTCCCCATTTTTTTTTTTATAAAGGTGAGAATTGCAATTAACTAAAAAGGAACCCAAACATCAGTTTTGGATACAAAATCAAGCAGAAAAAGGAAAAACAAGGAAAATAAGAAAATAAGAAGGGAATGAATCCAGCAGCACAAGAGGTGCTCGTATCCAGGCAGAACGAAGGGAGCCAATTCCGCCGACAAACTCCTGCTTCCCGAACAAAAACGAAACCTACACACACAGAGGCGCAAAAGCGAAGTCAGCGAAACCAGCGAAGTTCCCGGGTGAACAGACCAAACTACAGGGTCGAAGCGAAGAGTACAGTTGTTGCAGCTACCGACCAACGCCACCTCCCAGAGGAAGAAACGGAGTCAACTGTCCTGATTCTAGAGAGCAAGCTGCGTTCTCAACCAGCCTGTACCTTGGTCTCTACTGATCTTTTTGTGCGCCACCAGCCACTCAACCGAAGCTCGGATCGCCTTCAGGAAAACAACTTTGGTGTTGCTGCTGGTATCTTGAAATATCCGATTGTTTCTCACTAACCAGACCTGCCAGCAGACAGCATGAAGAGCACAAAAAGCAATCCACTCACTAAGACAATCGGGGATTTCGTGCTTCCATCTTCGAATGGTGCCAAGGATGTCCCCTTGAGGTGGGATCAAGGTGTTACAAACTTGTTTCGCCTCACGCCAAATCTCTTTTAAGAACTCGCAGTCAATAAATAAGTGCTCTACTGTCTCCTCAGCTCTGGCGCACAAGCTGCATCTGCTTGCTAAGATCACTCCTCTCTTCTGCAGGTTGTCATCTCCTTACATCACTACATATCGTAGATTTCGGTTCTACCACGATCATTCTTCCTAATAACTACTATCCCTAATTATTTTAAAATAACTCGTTTTGTCTCTCTGTTTTTTCCGAATACCACTTGTCAAATATCACATGTGTATGATTCTATCAAACGAGACACTTTAATCCAAAGGTTAATAGCATTTTCTACACCTTTACTATCGTAAATTAACAAACGTACCTCTCTACTAAATTTTTGCACAAACATACCCCTCTAATATTAAAATGTAACGAATATACCCTTCCGTCTAATTTTCTGTTAAATGGGTTGTAAAATGACTAAAATACCCCTCAATTACCCTTAATTCATTTTGACATTTTTTATGATACCTACTTAATTAAACCTTACCCAAGCCGTCATCTCTAAGCCATGCTCCATCCTTTCGTCTGCCCCGACACCAAAGAATCCCCCAGCGCACCCTGTCACATGTGGCAGATGACATGGCGCCAACAAGGTGACAACAAGGCGGCTGCACATGAGGCATGCATGGAAGACTAGTAGCATAGAGATGCTCCTAGGATTCTCCACCTAAATGAGAGCTTAATGGTGCACTTATGGGTTACATTATGGGTAGCATTATTAGAGTGCATTATGGGGGGACTTTATGGGGTGTATTGATGTAGAGGGACCATTATGAGGGGCATTGATGCCTTGTATGAGGAGAGGCTTATATAAGGAGCCATCTCCCTCACTTGTAACTCATTCCATCATTTTTGAGAGTAATACACACTAGAGAGTTCTCCCAATCCTTTGTCTTTGTTCTTGTCTTTGCTTGCTTGTGAGTTTGAGAGAAAGGCTGCCTAGCGCTCTAACGGAATTGAGAGCTAGGGCCGCACGATCGAGAGTAAGGTCGTGACAAGTGGTATCAGAGCCTGGTTCGTCTTTGTGCTAACAAAGTTGAACCTAGAGCCAGAAGGAAAGGAAGAACCTCACCAGAAATGTCGGGATCAGAAGTCAATGACAACGTTGAGAAGCGTCGTGGCAGAGAGCCTACCCCAACCGGGAGGCCAAAAGACAAATCGAGCACTCGTGATCCTCTCAAGTCCCTAGAGAGGCGAGTCTCGAGGATGGAGGTGAAGATTTCTGAAGATGTCACTTCCATCGAGGATTTGGGAGCTAACTTCGCCCAAGTCGAAAGCGATTTTCAAGGTATGAATGCTCGTTTGTCGAGCTTGGAGATTGGTCATGATGGCATACGAGAAAAGCTTGTGGCCCTCATCAACAACACCATCAACACATCCTTGAACAACGCCATTGAAGTTGTGAAAGAGCATGTCCAGGCTGAGCTGGTCGGCGTGAAGGAGGAGATTGCAGATCTTAAGAGTGAGGTCACTCTCGTGAAGAGAGCCATGGCTAGCGGACCAGCCACGGTGCAATCCGTCCCACGTGCTGACATTCCAAGACCGAAGAGCTTCGGAGGTTCCAGGAATGCAAGGGAGTTAGAGAACTTCCTTTGGAGTCTTGAGCAGTACTTCAAGGCGTCCGGCATCCAAGAGGATGAGGTAAAGATTCGTACCGCTGCACTATACTTGGTTGATGTTGCAATGGTGTGGTGGAGGCGACGTGAAGCGGACGTCGAAAGAGGTACTTGTGTGATGGTAACGTGGGAAGATTTCAAGAGAGAAATCAAAAGGCAGTTCTACCCAAAGAACGTGGAGTTTGAAGCCCGTTCGAAGTTGAGAAGACTCACCCAGAGGGGTGGAGTTCGAGAATACGTGAAAGAATTCTCGGAGCTGCTTCTAGAGATCCCGGACATCACGGACAAGGAGGCCATGCACGGCTTTCTTGATGGGCTGCAACCATGGGCCAAGATGGAGATGCAACGTCGAGGAGTGCAAGACCTTGCAACTGCCATGGCCACGGCGGAGTCTTTTGTCGAGTAGAAAAGGAAAGAGAGCAGCGGCAAAGAGAAGAGTTCGAAGCCCAACAAGGGTGGAGAACAGCAGAGGCCTTTCAAGGAGAGGGTTCTCGCACTCAACAACACCAAAGTGGTTCGAGCAAAGGGGGTAAGTACGAGCCAAAACCCATGACTTGTTTCCTTTGCGACGGACCACATCGAGTGCGAGATTGCCCAAGGAAGGCAAGATTGGCGGCCATGGAAGCTCAAGATGAGGAGCCCAAGGCGGCGGAGGCCAAGATTGGCTCAATCCGCAAGCTTGGCGCGGCGAAGACCGACGTCAAGGAGAGCAAGCGGGGGAGGTGCTATGTTCTGGCGCAATTCATGCAAGGCGAGTCAAAAGCCTTGGTGGATACCGGTGCCACGGACAACTTTCTTCGCATCGAGGAGGCAAACCGGCTGGGTATTGCCTACGAGAAGGGGCAAGGGAGGCTCAAGACGATCAATTCGGAGTCCATCCCCATCCATGGAGTTTCTCACAACGTACCAATGAAGCTGGGCGAGTGGGAAGGCCTCATCGACTTTTCCGTCGTCACCATGGACGATCACCCAGTCATCCTCGGCATCAACTTCCTCGACAAGGAGGGAGTGCTCTTGAAGCCCAACTCCAACACAATGTGCTTGGAGAAGGAAGGGGAGTTTCATGCAGTCCATCTCTTGAGAGAAGATGGTCCCCATAGTGCTCTATCCGCTATGCAAGTGGTGAAGGGGTTCAAGAAGAATGAACCAACCTTTCTTGTGTCCTTGAAAATGGAGGAAGAAGGAGGCTCAACGGGAATCACAACTCCCATCATCGAAGGTGTCCTCGAAGAGTTCGATGACGTGATGCCATCGGAGTTTCCCAAGAAGCTGTCACCAAGAAGAGAGGTGGACCACAAGATTGAGTTGGAGCCAGGAGCGAAACCCCCTTCGCGAGCACCATACCGCATGTCGCCACCGGAGTTAGAAGAATTGCGGAGGCAACTCAAGGACTTGGTGGACGCAGGCTACATGCGGCCATCGAAGTCACCTTTTGGAGCACCGGTGCTGTTCCAAAAGAAGAAGGAAGGGTCGTTGCGGATGTGCATCGACTATAGAGCCATCAACAAGTTGACGGTGAAGAACAAGTGGCCGATTCCCAACATTGCCGACTTGTTCGACCAGCTTGGAGATGCAATGTGGTTCACCAAGCTAGATCTTCGCTCGGGCTACTATCAAGTGCGGATAGCAGAGGGCGACGAGCTGAAGACGGCTTGTGTGACGAGTTATGGCTCTTACGAGTTTCTTGTGATGCCGTTCGGTCTCACCAACGCACCAGCCACGTTTTGCACTTTGATGAATCAAGTGTTCGAGCCATTCTTGGACCGGTTTGTCGTGGTCTACTTGGATGACATCGTCGTGTATAGCAAAACACTCGATGAGCATGCCGAGCATCTACGCCAAGTCTTCCAAGTCCTTCGTGACAACGAGTTGTACGTCAAGAGGGAGAAGTGCACATTTGCCGCCACGGAGGTTCCATTCTTGGGGCACGTCATTGGTGGAGGAAAGTTGAAGATGGATGGAGCGAAGGTGCAGGCAATCCAAGAATAGGAGCCGCCAACGAAGGTGCCAGAGTTGCGGTCATTCCTCGGCCTTGCCAACTACTATCGGAGGTTTATCAAGGGCTACTCCAACATGGCAGCACCCTTGACGGATCTCTTGAAGAAGAACAAGGCATGGGATTGGTCGGAAAGGTGCCAAGAAGCATTCGAGGTCTAAAAAGCAGCGGTGATGAAGGAGCCCGTGCTCGTGCTCCCCAACCCGACGTTGGCCTACGAAGTGCAAACCAATGCATCCGACTTTGCAATTGGGGGCGTGTTGATGCAAGATGGGCATCCCATTGCCTTCGAGAGTCGGAAGCTCAGCGAGACGGAGAGGCGATACACCGTTCAAGAGAAGGAGATGACGGCCGTGGTGCATTGCTTGCGCACATGGAGGCACTACTTGTTGGGGTCAAAGTTTGTAGTAAAGACGGACAACGTGGCAACGAGCTACTTTCTGACGCAGAAGAAGCTCACCCCTAAGCAAGCGAGGTGGCAAGACTTTTTGGCCGAGTTCGACTTCGTCATGGAGTACAATCCAGGCAAGGCGAATTCCGTTGCCGATGCTCTTAGCCGCAAGAGTGCAGCCGCAAGCATCAGCCAGCCCACGTTTCCTTTGAAGGAGCGGATCGTTGAAGGCCTTGGCCATGACCCCTTCGCCAAAACCGTAGCGGAGTACATCGGGCAAGGCAAAACTCGGCGGTTTTGGATGAAGGATGGGCTCATCATGACCAAGGGAGAGCGGGTGTTCGTGCCAAGATGGGCCAACTTGAGGAAGGAGATCATGAAGGAGTGTCATGATTCCAAGTGGGCGGGCCATCCCGGCATCGAGAGAACGCAAGCGCTCATCGAAGAAGCATACTTTTGGCCGCGTATGAGGGACGACGTGGAGATGTATGTGAAGACTTGTCTTGTGTGCCAACAAGACAAGATGGAGCAGAGAAGCCCGGCAGGCTTGCTAGAACCCTTGCCCACGCCTCAACGACCATGGGAGAGTGTAAGCATGGACTTCATCATCGGACTTCCCAAAGTCGATGGATGCGGTTGCATCATGGTTGTGTGGACAGATTCTCGAAGTATGGAGTGTTCATTCCTGGGCCAAAAGACTTGACGGCAGAGGGTGCGGCACGTCTATTCTTCAAGAACGTGGTAAAGTATTGGGGCATTCCTAGCAGCATTGTGAGCGACAGAGATGGGCGCTTCACGGGCAGATTTTGGCGAGAGTTGTTCAAGATCATG